ATAAGTCCAAATGCCATCTTCTCTTTCTCAACCTAGAGACCTGACCACTACCCAGCACTCTCCTTTTAGCAGCCAGTTTTCTTTTACTTAAAGCAGCTCTCATTACCCGAATTAAAATTTAAAATTTGTTTACTTGAGTATTTCCTATCTCTTCAACTTCAAATAAAATTTCATGCAAGAAGAAATTTTTTTTTTTCACCATTGCATTGCCAGTATATAAAATTGACCTTGGCACACACTAGCCACTCAATAAGGGCATATTGAATAATAACACCTTTTTATGTGGAAAATCTGCATCTTTATAGACATTCTTAAAATTGGATTTCGGGTCCATAGAAATAGATTAATCATAATCCTTGGTTAATGGCATGCTCGTCGGTGATCCCTGTACAGCCCTCTTTGGTTTTTTATTTTGCTACTTAATTAGGGGAACCTGAAACAAAATCTAGGGCCCTTCATCTAATCATAGTGCCCTGATCCCCGTCTCATCCCCCCTGCTTATTCTCGCTGAGGTAATCATCATCAGAACTCCAGGTTCTTTGTTCCTTATCTGTCTTAAGTCCATTTCCCTAGAAGCAGAGCCTGCGATGATGGGATTCTCACTCAGGTGACTTACTGAAGCAGTGCTCAGAAGAAGGGGAGTTCGGGAAGCAAGGTGGTCAGGGGAAGAGCCAGGCAAGGATGTAGAATCAGCTGGAGACTGGATGTAGGGCGTTGGACCACACGTCATCAGCCTGTAGCATTGACCCACCTTGAGGCAAAAGACTAGCTTTGTAGCCCCAAGTCAGTCCGTCATTGACTGACCTTGGGGAGGTGATACAGGGAAAGCTGATGCGCAGCCTCCTGGGTGAGGCAGCCCCAGGTGGCTAAGGGCAATTTTCCAGAGGAGGAAAGAGCCTTAAGTTGTTGGCAGCCAACACTCAAAAGCAACTAGGGATCAGTGCACTTGACCGGGTAAAGGGGTTCTGGGCACTTCTCCTACACCTTTCTTCCCTCTTTATACCGCTTATCAAATTTTGTATACCTTCCTTAAAAGTATATATATAAAAATGTAATAAACACACATTTTTCAGTTACTTGGGGCTTTCTAGAAAGAAAATCACGCTGAATTTGGACTGTCGTGTAATTTTCAGTATGCGGAAATACCATACTTTATCCGCCCATTCTCCCACTAGTGGACTTCTGAGTCGTTTTGGGGTTGTTGCTATTATGAACAATGTTGCTATGAACATTCCCTCATGTATTCCTGTCAAATACGTGCAAGAATGTGGGGGGCGGGGAATAGAATAGCTGGATCATGAGGTATGGACTCTGGAAGGTAATGCCAAACTGTTTCCCATGGTGCCTCTGTTAGTTCACATGCTCACCAACAATGTGTATATGAGCGCTTATCATCCATACCCGCTCCCACATTTTTTATTTTTGTAAACTGAAGGAGTATAAAATGGCAATCTCATCATGGTCTTGATTTATATGTCCTCTATCACTAATCATCTCTTCGTATGTTTGTCAGATACACCTGTTTCCTCGTATGTGCTATTAGTGCTATGCTTGCTCCTGTATTTTGTCCATTTTTCTATCGGATTATTTATAATTTTGTTAATCTGTAGGAATTCTTTATCTGTCCTTTATCTGTTGTATTTGGAATCTTGTGAATATCTTCTTCTACTTTGTAACTTTTCTCACTTTCTTTATGGTGTCTTTTAATAAACAGATGTACATCATATAATTATAGTTGCAGGCATTTTTTCTATGGCTTTTTGCATCTTGTTTAATAAATCTTCCCCTTAAGGATTAAGGGATCTGAAGGACAATCTCCATCTTGGGGCTGGGGGCACAAAGGCAGGCAGGTTACAGGTGAGTCACAGAGGCAAGTGCTGTCACGCCTAATGAGGCCCTGTCTGGTCGCAGGCGGCCCTGACCAGCCAGCAGCCAGTTAGCTGGCTGGCAGGTGTGTTCTGGTTATAGAATTGGATATATCGTGTATTAGAGCTGGATACCATTAAAAATTCTAATCATAGGCTGTAATTAACTTTCCTCGCTCTGATGGCCCGCTCACTAAACAACCTCCTGATTATAATTTGGCTTCCCATGTATGTTGCCTACAGGGAGAGAATGTACTGTTCGGGCCGACGTGAGGATCCAATTCACTAAATAGTTATACGCCATAATGTAAATTAATAAATTCGTATTCTGGTTTTATCACATGCCTCATCTGAGCTCTGCAGGCGTGAGTCAGCATCCCTGAGTCTAATCAACACGGACACTGAGAATATCAAGCTTCTGAGCTGAAAAACGAAGAACGAGACGCACGACCGGAACGAATCACCAAGGCAACGCTGCCCTGGGGGGCCCCTCGACCCGATGGAGAAGGTCTCTCTCCGTGGCATGTGATAAGAACAGAGATTAAAATGAACTTTTGACGTTATAAAGAGCTGCATAGTCAAAACCGTGGCTTGCTTCCCTTCAGGTAAAGGTGAAGAAGAGACAATCATAAGGCTCATATTGAATATTTATTGGCATATGAGCACACACCAGATGCTGCACAAATCCTAGACAGAAGGGTAAGATTTACAGACATGTTTGAAAAAATTAAAGTGGGGGGTAGGGGGGAGAGGTGCAGATGGAACATGCTAAGGCAGAATGGAACAAGCGGAGCCTGACTGATGAAGCCTGGCCCCACCGTGCACTCATGGGCCAGGGTGCAAATTAGAAGACAAAAAAAAAAGAAAATGAAACACGAGGTACCAGAGCACAGGCAGGAATGTGCCAAGGCGGTGAGGTTAGCCAGGCCAGAGGAGTGATTTAGGGCTTGTAGGGTGAACTTGGAAGCAAGTTCAAAGGCGAAGTGGAGGTGAGCCCATCGGACAGAGGGGGAGAATTTAACAGTCGTGCTATTAGATCACCACTGTGTTCAGTTTCTGGGTGAGCAGCACCTATGGCGACACAGATGGCCTTCTGGGATCCAGTGGCACTGAACAATAAAAAGGATGCGATCGGGACTGGGGTACCTGGGAATCTGGGGCCTGGTGATGAGAAGTGACAACCTACTTTATAGTCAGACCAAAAACATACAAACAAAAACAAAAAGGGGAGCAAAGATGACCTATGCTGATGACCTAAGCAGGATTTGTTTTTCAAAGAAAAAATATGTTCAAGGAGTGAGAAAAATTAAAGGAAGTTCATTCTGTACCATCTTTGAGACCAATTGCATTGTTTCCTACAGCACCTGCCTCTGGGTCCCCACCAGAGCAAGGTCACCAAGCATGGCTAGATTGAATGAGGTTAGAGAACCATCTCAGATACCCTTTAGTTCTAAAAAAAAAAAAAAAAAAAAAAAAATGAAGTAGATGGCCTGTAGACTAAAGGGTCCTGGGTTCGATTCTGGTCAAGGGCACGTACCTTGGTTGTGGGCACATCCCCAGTGGGAGGTGTGCAAGAGGCAGCTGATTGATATTTCTAACTCTATTTCTCTCCCTTCCTCTCCGTAAAAAAATCAATAAAAATGAGGTAGAGACATGCCACCAGTGAGGGGTGATCCTAAGAGGGGCCCAGGGAAAGATATACAAAGGGTTCAGAAAAACAACAGGACAAAAATATGGCAAGTGACAGAAGCCCTTCTCTCAGGTCGGCCATCCCAATGCAGGAACTTCAGGGAGGGGCTGGCCTCTGTCCTCTCCAAAGCCAGAGGCTGACACATGTAAAGGAGTAATCTCCCTTTAACATGGCTTCAGCATGCGCACATACATGGGGGGATGTTTACTTGTAGTCAGAGCGGGCTCCTCATCTAGTACAGGTGGTCTCGCACATGCTCCATGATGGTCTTCAGCCCCAGCCAGGTCTCTTCTGCAGTGGGAATGATCTGGTCGGCTGGCAGGAGGAAGCCATAGTGCCCAGTGTCTCTTAACTCAAAAGTAAATGCGTACTTGATGCCATTATCATACGCCCAGTCCACGCTGCTCCCACTAGCTGGATCTGCAGGTCAGAAGAGAAAACACCTTTGAGGCACAGTTTCTTTCAGGGTTCAGTGAGAAGGGGCCGGGAGTTCTGCCTGCCTGTGGTTCTTTAGGGACCCAGAGTTCCTTCTGCAAATCGTTAGGCCTATGACACAAACATTGGCCTGATCCATATGTCTCAGGCTGTCCTCCACCATGAGCGTCTTCACTCGTCTCAAATGAAGATCTTTTAAATCCTCATCCGCACCTCGTCACTAATTCCATAGACTCCTGCAGGTCATGCAAAACCAATCTTGACGGAGCCCGAGTACAGTAGACAGCCTCCAAGGCAGCCCCTATAATCCTTGTCCCGGATAATCACATCCTTATATAGTGCCCCCTACACTGAGGGGGGCTTACCTGACCTGTGTAACGACCAAAAGACTACAGAAATAAAGGTAGGGAACCGTCAAGGATAGGCCACAAAAGCTACTGTGGCTTCTACCTTGCTCTCTCTTGTACCACTTGCTCTGAGGAAAGGCAGTTGTCATGTTGTAAGGACACACAAGCAGCCCTAAAAAGAGGCTCATGTGGTGAAGAACTGAGGCCTCCCCATAATCAGCACCACTTGCCAGGCACCTGAGGGAGCCATGGAAGAAGCAGACCCTCCAGCCCAGTCCAGCCTTCAGATGACTGTAGCCTTGGAAGACATCTTGACCTCATGCGAGACCCCGAGCCAGACCCACCCAGCTACGTCACTCTTGAGTTCCTGGCCCACAGAAACAGTTTTTTAAAAAATAAATGTGTCTTGCTCTAAGCTGCTAAGTTTTAGGATAACTTTTTACATAGCACGGCCCTTGAAACATCGCTCTGCCAAAAGGCTGGGAGGGGAGAGGATGGACGGGGGAAGCAAGAGACCTGTTTTTCTGCTTCTTCTCAAACTCTACCAGAGCAAAGACTGGGTAAGAGTGCAAACGTGTAGATGATGTTAAATAAACTAATTATGCCACTCGCAGCTATCACTTATTGTACATCTACCAGGAGCCAGTCGTTACACCGGGAAGTTTACATTTATGATCTCATTTAACCTTTAACACCCCAATGAGAGTAGGTATTATTGTCCTTGTTTTTCAGATGTGGAACTCCAGGCTCAGAAGGGGTAATTCATCTAGAGAAATACAGATGGAAAATGGCAAGGGTAGAATTTAAACCCACGTCCATCTCAGGATAGAGCCTATGCTTGCTTCCACCTCCTTCTAGTCCATTTGGCATGTTACATGTCAATTAAATAACTATTTGGGTCCTTTCATTTTTCCATTGTTCCTGAGGGTTGTTTTTCATGATACCATTTGAGGGGGTTTTTTTCTAGAGATGCTGGTTCCACTGAGAGTACCTGCTCCCCGAGAGAATGAGACATGCTCTCCTCCACTCTCTGAAATCCCTGTGTGGTTCCCACAGCCTTTCTCTATCCTGAGAAAACACTGAATAAAACAAAAAAACAAAAAGAAACAAAAAAAAACAGGTGTCTAGAGGTTACATACACAAGCTCCACTCTTTCAGAGAATTCAAAATTCAGGAAAGAGACGAGAAGACCTCTGCTGAGCAAAGTGATCGATCATGAGAACCTCACTTTATTTGGGTCCCTGTTCAAAGTCTACCTACTTTTTTTTTTTTTCTTTAAACACAGATGGGATCATACTATTTACACTGTCCTATACCCTGTAGTTCTTCACTAGCCTTTGAAGGTTATTTCCTATGAGCACACGTAGGCCCACCTCATTCACTCCAGGCCTGCATCACTGAGAAAGGTACCAAATGTGCTTTTTCTCCCCCGCACTCCGCTGATGGACAGTTAGGTGCTTAGCGGTCTTTTGTGGATTACCAGTCTTCTGTGACTATAAACAATGCAGTAATGGCCATCCTTAATACCCACAATCCAAGGAGCCAAACCAGCCCAGAGAACTTGTTTCCAAGCCCTCAGTAGATCCAAATCAGTCAGAGGAAAAGACAGTTGGCCTGAAAACAGTGCCATCTGACCAGAGGAAGGAGGCACGAAAACTCTAAAAAGCAGACACAGAATGAAAGAGGCAACACAGGCCAGGCTGTTTAACACAGGGATTCACTGGTCCAAGAGGGCACAGGAAACCTTCAGGATATAACAACTCATATTCAGGAGGCCACTGAGTCCCAAAGAAAGGAGCTCAGCCCTGGCTGGTGAGGCTCTGTTGGATTTAGCGTCATCCTGTACACCATAAGGTTTGATTCCGGGTTAGGGCGCATATCCAGGTGGTGGCTTCAATTTCCAGTTGGCGCACACGTGGGAGGCAGCCAATCCATGTTACTCTCTCTTTCTCTCCCTTCCTTCTTCTCTCTAAGATCAATTAAAAAAATAAAGAAAGAAAAGAAAAGGAGCCGAAATCGGTTTGGCTCAGTGAATAGAGCATCAGCCTGTGCCCATCCAGTCAAGGGCATGTACTTTGGTTGCGGGCACATCCCCAGTAGAGGGTGTGCAAGAGGCAGCTGATCGATGTTTCTAACTCTATCCCTCTCTCTTCCTCTCTGTAAGAAATCAATAAAAATATATTTTTTAAAAACAACAATCTGTTCAAAAAGAAAGAAAGAAAGAAAGAAAGAAAGAAAGAAAGAAAGAAAGAAAGAAAGAAAGAAAGAAAGAAAGAAAGAGAAAGGAATTTTAATCTCTTCTATATATGATCTGTTTAAAGAGCAAGAAAATGTGAATTCCTTTTCAGGATGATTTTCATTGATTTTAGAATGATTCTCATCTAAAATGGTAAGCCCAAGAAAAAGTCCAGCTCTCAAAGGGCAAACATCAACTATTTGTATAGCATATTCCATAACCCAGGGAGTTCAAGTGTTATTACACAAAAACTGATTACATTTTTGGAAAGCAAAGGGGGCAGACAAAGCCTGTAAGGAATACAGAAGATGGGCTCTTGAAATAATGTGTCTTGGAAACGCCTGCCTCCTCTGTTGGAGGCGCTGACGAGTGTCCCGTGATTCTGGCACAGCTAAGCTGGGGAGAAGAATGCATTTAGTGTGAGAGGACAAGGCCATGCTTTAACCTGGTATCTGACCCAGAAGTCAGGATCCTGATGACCCACAAAGTTCTTTTGAGAGGCCCTCCTCAGAGAGTTCCTGTCCAGTCTGTTTAGCCCTCTTTGGTCCAGGACTCCATTCTGACTAATTAATCAGAAGATGGAGAAACTCCCTGATGTGGTTATTCTCTGAGGAGTTCCCATTTAACAACACTAATAATAATAAAGCATAAATAATTAACGAATTGTTGCTGCGATTAGCAACACAAACACCAACATCATGCTAACTGCCTTATGCAGCCTTGTGGCTTATGGAACATAAAGGAGGGCTGACATCAGAGGACCCTGGAGGTGAGATGAAGAATCTCCCCATAGCTCTAGCTGTTTGGCTCAGTGAATAGAGCGTCAGCCTGCAGACTGAAAGGTCCCGGGTTCAATTCGGTCAAGGGCACATGCCTGGGTTGCGGGCTCAATCCCCAGTAAGGGGCTTGCAGGAGGCAGCCGATCAATGATTCTCTCTCATCATTGATGTTTCTATCTCTTTCCCTCTCCCTTCCTCTCTGAAATCAATAAAATAAATAGATAGATAGATAGATAGATAGATAGATAGATAAATAAATAAATAAATAAATAAATAAGGATCTTCCCGGAAGAGTAAGCCTGAAGGAAATAGCTAATGGAAGATAAAGCAGGTGGAATGGGAGAGTGGGCTCCAGTACGGAAGAGAAAACAAATCTAGTATCAGCAAGTCTTGAGGGGCTCTGAGGGTGGATCAACTATTGGAAACTACAGAGGAGGCACTAGTGGGGGAAAAGAAGGACACTCATTTAAAAGGGGTGAGAGCTGAGTTCTCCACCTTTGTATGTACATTTCCCATTTAAAGCTAGTGTCTTGGAGAATAGTCATTTTCTTCAATTTTTTCACTTAGAAATCAGGCTCACAACACATAGAGACTGGAAGGAACTCAGCAGGAATAGAGTGAATTGTTCAGATGAAACACTCCAGTGAGAAACCAAAACAAAGGTTATTTCCTCAAAATGAGGTTGTGGTGGTAGGTGGTGAACCTCAAGACCAACTTCAGATTGGGGGTCTTGGTGTGGTTTCTTTTCTCTTTTTTGGCTTGATGCCCACCACTGTTGGGAGGACACCCTAACCCAGTTCCCACCCTGCCATGCTCCAACACGTGTGCATAGCACGGTGACGAAGTCTCATCCCCTCTGCTATGACCACCTGAGCCTGCCAGTTCAAATATGGGCTTTCACTGGAAATGGAGTGATGGGGAGGGAAAAAAGAGCATGGAATAGTGGGCTTGATGAATTTTTAATAAACCATGTCAGGACCTTCAATGGAAGGGAAGGATTGTAGACCATACCACCCTGGCAGGCAAGTCATCACGGGCACATGATAAATGGCATGAGGTAGCAGTGAGGATGCTGATGACTGTGTGCAACAGCTATTACCACACAGGTTTGACATAACTTCAGTCTATTACTAACAACAAAGACCATCGGATTACAGTGGAGGAAGTCTAATGCGCTGTTCTTCTCCTGCTCCACCTCACGTTTCCTCTCAAAGCCTTTTTAAATAAAGAATAAATACTTACAGACGGTAGTAGAGATGGAACCCACGTGGTACTGAGTGCCAAACGGGGAAGCCAGAGCTTTAGCTGCACGCCTCGCCACCTTGTCCTAGAAAGGGGAGTCAGCAGAATGAGAAAAAGTGGATCCCGCAGCAAGACATTCCACAGCTGTTCTGCACTGTAACGGTCTGGGGATTCTCAGCTGCTCCCCCAATTTCCCCCTCTGGCCTCCTCTTCCTTCCCATCCAACTAAAGATAAGGCTGATTACAAAATGAAGGGAACTCCTCCTCCCGTCACACCCCAGTTCTTTCCTACTCGTTTGGGGAAGGGGGCGAAGAAAAGGTGAAAAAAGACGCATGTGCATTCTGAAAGCACGTGTGTTAAACACTCCAGCTCTCCAAAGACCCAGAGGGCTGCTCACCAGCCCATTGGGAGTCCAGTACAGGCACCACCATCTTCACCTACCCTAAGGGAATGTCATGTTCATAAGCATGAAGTGAGGCCAAGCATGTTCAAGAGAAAACCTTCTAAGAGCTGGGTATTCCAGAGCGGAGGTGGAGGTGGGGCTGCCATACATAGATGTGTCCTATGCAGAGTGCCTACTTGAGAGCAGAATCTGCCCACACCAAGCCAGGAGCCCTGTACCTGCTGGGAGGTTTAGGGGATAGCTAAGGCCTGGGCTGAGGGGCATGTGAGAGTCGACCAGCACAGCGGGGAGAGGCCCGCTCTGCAGATGTCAGCCCAGCTCCCTCAGTCCACCCTCCACGCCTGTTCACATGTGAGGGTGAGTCACTGCATGCGACACAGAGTACCCCTACGCTGTGGCCTCCACCCTACTTAACTCTGCCATACCTGGAGTGAGGGGCACCTCCCCTTCGCCCAATACAGGCCACCCCAGCTCTTGGGTCTGCAATACGTTTTTGGTCAGAACCAGTGAGAAGGAAAGGCAAGGATCAGGTGTGGTTCTTGGAAGTCATAGCAAACACAGACATAAGGGCACCATCTTCTTCCTATCCGCTGTAGCTCTGATAAGCAGGGAAAGAAGCCTGGGCCCTTAAAGGAAGAAGCCCAGGCTCCCAGACTTTCCCTATAATGTTGTAGAGCCCCGACCTGGGCAGCAGCTGAAGGTAAAGCAGGCCGGGGGCTGGGTGGAAGGCAGCCCATTACTCACCAGCTCCTCGGCATCCGGGGCCTCTTTTCCTGTGTACCCATACGGATACATCAGCAGCTGTGAGTAGCTGTGCACGTCGATGAAGCATTTGAAGTTCCCGTGCTGTTGAATGAAATCTACCACTGACTTCACTTCTACTTCTGAATTGGGATGGGGTCCATGGTACACTTCGGAGCAAGGATTCCCACTGGCTCCCTTTCCTGTTGGGGGCAGCCCAGGCAGAAACATTAACCCACAGGCCAAAAAAGCAACAGAAATGAAGGATCCACAATCCAAAGGATGGACGGAAGGTACTAGCAATGGACAGGTCACTGTTAGATGACCCGAGTCCATGGTGTGTGTATATTGAAGTGAAGGAGTGGAATGTTGGGGTGTTAGACCTGCCACAGCGGAGAAAGAAAGCTGGCAGAACTCCTTTAAAAGGGCAGTTGACCTTGCATTGTATTGTATCATTAACAATTGTCATAAGTAATTAATATCACACTTGACAATGAGACGTAATTAATAAGTATCCTGGATCATTAATATGAATACCAATTAATAATGAAAATGATTCCATTTATTCTGGTGTCAACTTGTTCTCTTGGTTCAGATCTTAACGGCGAAGCACTGCCAAAATAATCTATTGTTGTGGCTAAAATCTCTTGATTATTTGTCAGGTGTTAGAAATACTGTCTTCAATATTACTTCACAATATAGTTCCCTGAGGTATCTGGTGGGTAAAACCATTCCGGCTGTGGAATATCTGACCTAACTTTTTCTCAGCTCCTTCCCCAGTCACATTATTCCCCCCACACACACACACACTGGCTGGTGTGTATTTCTAGGCAAGTGCTATGCAAGTCGATATTGAGAACAAAACATCTACAGAACAGGGAAAGAGAACTATTTGAATTTGGAATTGTAAAATGAGTTTAGATCCTAACTCAACCATAAACTCTTTTTTTTTTTAATATATATTTTATTGATTTTTCAGAGAGAGGAAGAGAGAAGGATAGAAAGCCAGAAACATTGATGAGAGAGAAACATCGCTCAGCAGCCTCCTGCACACCCCCACCAGGGATGTGCCCGCAACCAATGTACATGCCCTTGATCAGAATCGAACCCGGGACCTTTCAGTCCGCAAGCCGACGCTCTATCCACTGAGCCAAACCAGTTTCAGCTCAACCATAAACTCTTTAGATTGTCCACTGTCTCATTTCAGATAATAAAATTCACTCACTTTGGGTCGGAAGAATTGTAAATAAAATAATGTAAGGGTAGTACATGACACACAGCTGGCATGATTGTGAGAATGACTTTTTAACAGTAGAAACTTCCAACTCAGGGGTCCTAATTCTTATTCTCTTTCCATCACTTATGCATGTATCTAAGGATAGACCGCAAGATTGTGTCTGTTACAGTGACACGCTTGCCCTGGTCAACGTGGCTCAGCTGGTTGGAGTGTCATCCCGTTCACCGAAAGGTGGCCAGTTCCTTTCAGGTCAGGGCACATCCCAGGTTTCTGGTTCAATCCCTGGTCAGACCCATATGGGAAGCAACCGATCAATATTTCTCTCTCTGTCTCTCTAAAATCAATACTAATTTTAAAAAACAACATATCCTCAGGTAAGGATTAAAAAACAAAGCAAAACCAAAAAAAAAAAAAGCCCTAATTGCTCTCTTCTGAGTTGCCTCCAGGAGCCCTTCCACCCACCCAGTAACTCGCCCAGGACAAGCCGAGGCAGCCAGGGAATGAGGAAGAGGCATGGATGTGTATATCTAAGACTGTGGTGGTTTTTAAATATTAGTATTCTCTCTGGAGGACAGGAATCACTAAGTTGTTCCCTTTCATAATCACACACACACACACACACACACACACACACACACACACACACACACAAATTTTTTTTTAAACAAAACCAAAATATGAGACATAGAGAGCGTTAAGGGATTCGCCCAACTATCTCAGTGAATCAGCAATGGAGCTCGCCTGGAACTCAGCTTCTGTTCTGCCAGTGTGGAGCCCTGTGGACCAGACTACCCAGGGGCAGCAGGATTTGAAAACCAGCTCCCCAACCTACCGGCAAAACTAGCGTTCCAGTTTCTATTCGCATCAACACCAACGCAGCGGCTTCTAGGATGTAGAGACCGTGTCTTCCTCCAAAGTCGGTTCTGAAAAATCCACCAAGGAAGGGACAAACATCCAGAGATGAGCCAGAGCACAAGAAAGGGGAAGGTTTTCTTTGGGGACCAAAGGCGGAAATGGGCACCATGGATGGGGCGAGCTGCTTACAGTTCTCTCCGGAGAACCATCAGGGCTCCCGTCCTCTCACCCCAGTAAGAGGAGGCTGAACCCTCCTGGCTCTGAGAGAAAGACTCCCCCAAATGCCCTCGTGAGGACTTTATAATGCAAGAACCAGGTGGACACCGCCTGCACCCACTGAGTAATTTTTGGCTGCGGAAAAAAGTGGGCCAAGTAAACATTTGTGCACCTGAATGATCACTAATGTGATACGAAGTGCACAACTGTTGCATTCTTGCCCAAAAATTTCATCTGAATCCAACCAAGCCTATAGGTCAGACAACCAGAAAATAGGGGATGCGGAAATAAGAGAATAAATTAAATGGCACACAAGAAGACATCAGCTAACTTGAGAATGTGAAACAATTTACTTGGTTTCTCTAAAAATGAGTGATATTTTTAAAAAGATATGTGAGTGTGTGTGTTGTAGGATTGAGGGAGGAGGGGAGATAGTGCTAACTGTTATAAAATAAAATAAAAAGTCTGCAGAGCCATAACAACCACGTGCAGGTATGGGCCCTGGGCCAGTGTGGCTCAGTTGGTTGAGCATCATCCCATACACCAAAAGGTTGCCAGTTTGATTCCTGATTCCTGCAGGATCAATCCTCAGTAGGGGGGCAGGAAGGTGAGGGGCAGGAAGCAGAAGATCCATGTTGTTCTCAATTTGATATCTATCTCTCTCCCTCTCCCTTCTCTAAAAATAAATTTTAAAAATCTTTTTTTATGCCAGGACCAGTTTGGCTCAGTGGATAGAGCGTCGGCCTGCGGACTGAACGGTCTCGGGTACGATTCCAGTCAAGGGCATGTACCTTGGTTGCGGGCACATCCACAGTGGGGGGACGGGGGGGCAAGAGGCAGCTGGTCGATGTTTCTCTCTCATCAACGTTTCTAACTCTCTGTCCCTCTCAATTCCTCTCTGTGTAAAATCAATAAAATATATATTTTTAAAAAATCTTTTTTTATATAATGCAAGATCAGCTCTAGTCTGTTTGGCTCAGTGAATAGAGCATTAGACTACAGACTGAAGGGTCCCGGGTTCGGTTCCCAGTCAAGGGCATATGCCTGGTTTGTGGGCTCAAGCCCCAGTAGGAAGCATGCAGGAGGCAGTCAATCAATCATTGATATTTCTCTTTCTCGTTCTCCTCTCCCTTCCTCTCTGAAGTCAAAGAATATATATGTTAAATGCAGGATGGATTTCATTTATGTCCTAATTGCAACTAATTGGCTTAAGTAATTTCCATTACTTTGTTATTGTTGTTGTTGTTGTTATTAATCCTCACCCAAGGACATTTTCCCATTGATTTTTAGGGAAATTGGGGGGGGGGGGGGAGAGAAAGAGAGAGGAGAGAGAGAGAGAGAGAGAGAGAGAGAGAGAGAGAGAGAGAGATAGCAAGGTGAAAGAAACACATTGAGTGGTTGCCTTCTGCATGAGCCCTAACTAAGGGCTTAGGCCGGGGAGAAGTCTGCAACCAAGATATGTGCCCTTGACCAGAATCAAACCAAGGACCTTTCGGTTTGCAGGCCGATGCTCTATCCACTGAGCCAAACTGGCTAGAGCTCCATTACTTTTTTAAAGTGTGATAGTGGCAGGTGTGGTTTCTTTGTTTTAACTGCATTAGCTAGAGATGTACACTAAAGAAGTTTTGGGTGAAATAACCTGATGTCTAGGATCTGCTTTTAAAAGACATCAGGAGAAAAATGTGTGGGAGGGAAAGGAGTGGAGAAAAGATTGGTAAGGTGTTGATAATTGCTCAAGATCTATGTAGGAAGTTCATTAGACTGTTCTCTCTAAGAAAACATATTCCCTGGGGATTCTCAGCTCCGAGAGTGACAAGAAAATGAGACCCCGAGGGAGCTTATAAGTGCGCATCGTGGCAGTTTTCTCCAAGGTCCTACAACTATTTAGTGGCAGAGCGAGGAATTCAGCAAACAAGTCCTAACTCCAAGCAGCCCGCTGGGTGCCACTCACTTTGGTGTGGGTGTAGACGTATCCATCCGGATTGGCCACCGGCAGCAAGAAGATGTCCGTTTTCTCCAAGATGGAGGTGACGGCGGGGTCCTTCCCGTAATCAGATACAATCTAAGCAGAGATAATAAATGTGTCAGCGAGGCCCTCGACGGCTGGCTTGTTAGGTCTGAGCCTGTGTGTCTTCCCTGGATGCCCCGCTCCTAAAACAGCCTCCACCCTCCGCAGCCTCCCCGTCACCATCCCAGACACGGCTCTCCGAGCACTGGAGAACCTGGGGAGCGCAGCTGCTTGGTGACCTCAGCGGCTGCGGGGTCCTGGGCTGTCTGGTTTAGTCTTTCTTTCCAGGGGGTGGGACCGGGGAGCAGAGAGCCACTCATCAGAACAGTAATTAGGAATCTGAGCCCCCATGCCAGGGGTAAGGGAGATGGATCCACCCTACCCACATTTTTTCCATATCGATCTATAACTGTCCCAGCAAGATTTACTGAACTAACTGCTCCATAATGATCTGCCGTTCCACAAAACAAAATTTCCAGTGTGTGTGGGTTGGTTTGTTCTATGTTCTACTGGTATTCATCTGTGCCAGTCCTCTGCTGTCTGAATTGCTATCACTTAATAATATGTCTTACTGCCCTGGCCAGTGTTGCTCAGTGGTTATAGAATTGGCGTGGACACTGAAAGGTCTCAGGTTCTATTCCCAACACGAGCATCTATAATACCTGGTGGAGGCGAGTGCAGGAGGCAACCAATAGATGTGTGTCTCTCACATTGTTTCTCTCTCTCTCTCCCCCTTCCTCCCTCCCTCCCACTCTCTCTAAAAATCGATGGAAATAACATCCTTAGGTAAGGATGAACAAAAAAACAAGATAAAAATAAAAATGTCTCTCGGTGCTGGCTCAAAGAGGGCTCCCCGGTGGGACATGGAGCCAGCGTGAGGTCCCTGAGGGTCTGGGGGCTGGCAAAGGGCTAAAGGCAAAGCTCCTCTGCGTGTGGCTGCTGGCAAGGTCCTGCTCCCTCTCTGCTGAGCTGACTGCGGGTCAGTGTTTCAAGCCACCTCTGCGGCTCATTAGCTCGCTCTCCGCCACGAAGGCACTCTTTAGCCACGTGGTCTTGGCCAAGGGGCTCTGGCCTTTGCTGCTCCGAAATGAAAAGCGCCGCCCCCCCCCGCCCCCCTCCCTCCTGTGCCTCCCCACCTTATCCCCTGGGCCCAGCTTCCTGGGGGGCTGCAGGGGCACCCCGGGCCCACGGGAATTCTCGCCTAATACCAGGTGACATGACCTTCCTCGCAGTCCACATGGCCGTGGCCGGTGAGATCCACTCCCGGGAATGAATGCCCGAGTTCAGCCACATGGCCGGCCGCCTGCTGCCTTTTCCAGTGCTGAACTGTGGGAGGAAAAGGAGACCAGAAAATGACCCTCCTGACCCCGTTTCTCAGCCCCCCTCGCCTCTCTCCAGCTCGCTCCAACTCACTGAATCTATTTAAGAGGATTCAGAGACCAAATGTTCCCGAGGTCACCGTTTATTTATCAGTTTATCAGTAACTAGGGAGCTTAATTGGCTGGCTGGCTGGCTGGCCCAGCCGCAGCTCCAGGGTTGGAAGCAAATGGAGAAGGGAAACAATTGCTATTGTGAACTAATGCCGGCATGATTAGAGATAATATTGTGTCTCCTGAAAAACCTCAAATGGTATCCCAGCAGAGAGACCAGAGTGCCTGAACCAGCCCGTTCTGGTTGATGCAATAAATGCTTTGTAAACGGCACTAAATGAATTCTGGGTCTTTGCCTTTTCATGGCCCCTCCCCTACCTGACAGAGCTCGGTGCTAATGAAGCCAGGGTCTCCATCAGATAGGGAAATATTCTAAACGTGGGAAGATTATTTTAGCAAACGGGAAGATTATTTTAGCAAACAGCTCGGTGGCAGGCCTCCTGCTGGTAATTCACCCATTGCTATCAGCCTGGCTTCTTCGGGGTTGATAGGAAGCTAGAAGTTGACAAATTCTTAGCATCCTCGGTCATTCACATCTCCGAATTCTTTTTTATTCATTTGGCTGGATTATTTATGTCATTTGCGTTACTGCCATAAATGATCTACCTCCTCTGCCAAAATAGGCCTGAATCTGTTAGAAATACCTGGAAATGGGGCTTGGTGCAGCCAAGGGTCAGAGGCTGGGCTTAAAATGACCTCAGCCCTAACATTAGCTTCCTAGATTGCTTTTCAAATAAGTACCCCTAGAAGCAGGATGGGATTTGTAGAACTATCCCAATTTGTCTTGCTATTTGAAGGAAGGGACTAAAGGTGGGAATGAAGGAAGAAGTCTGTGTATAGAACTTTCTAGAACACTAACCTCCTCCAGCCCCACGCCCACATCACAACCTCCGCCCGCCCCAAGATAATCCCCTTCATCTTGCCTTTTAGTTGAAACCTGGAATGAGAATGCGCAAGTAGGAGACGGCCTGTCTGACCAAATTTGAACCCTGGGAGATGTCTTCCAACCTCACCCTCCTCCCTAAAGCCAAGGAGGACCTAAAAAGCTGCCCCTGGCCGAGGCCCGATAGTTGGGTCCTGGGCACAAGGAACCGGGAGCCCGTGTCTAGTCCGGCCCTTCACAGAGCATGGGCCTCACCTTGAGCACATACATCGGCCGGCCTTCGAACGAATGCCCGATCTTCACCCTGCTCGCCAGGTCAGGAAAGTCTCCAGCGATGCTGTCCATCTCCTGGTAAATCTGAAGTGTGAGAAAGCGAACCGAGAGGCATTTTAAAAACTTGTTCAGCTCTGGGTAGGTATCTGTGAACTTTATGTTGATAATCTTAACAATCTCTTCCAGCCTCCTAACCATGGGGTTAACAATATAATTGGCATGGAATGCTTGTTCTTAAAGAACTGCCTAAAGAGTCCTCTGCTACAATTTTCTAGAAAACAGTACATTTGTACCCATCCACAAAATTATAGTCCACTAAACTAGTCCACTGCTCCAACAGTGTGGCCCTTTGCACCATGCTGGACTGGGTAAACAGTGTGGCCCAGTTTAGCCCAGGTTCTTGAATCTCCAAACTTTTTAATCACTTTCTTCATTAGTAAATATATATATATATATATATATATATATATATATATATATATATATATATATATATATATATATTAGCATAGCCCTAGCTGGTTTAGCTCAGTGGACAGAGCTTTGGCCTGTGGACTGAAGGGTCCTGGGTTTGATTCTGATCAAAGGCACATGCTTGGTTTAAGGGCTCGATATACAGTAGGGGGCATGCAGGAGGCAGCCAATCAATGATTCTCTCTCATCATAGATATTCTCTCTCTCTCTCTCTCTCTCTCTCTCTCTCTCTCTCTCTCTCCCCCCCCTTCCTCTCTGAAATCAATAAAGAAATATATTTAAGAAATATATACATTAGCATATATATATTTGCTATGTAGAAGTGGGAATAGTTTCTTCCTGCATTCCAGTGGATAGGCACTCAGTTTGAAGACGATTCCTCTCAAGGCTTTAAGAGAACAAGGGAAGAGCTGTCGATCGTGGCCAGAAATGAGTTAAATAGAGTTCATCTATCTTAGTTGCTCAAACCTTTTGAGGGTCAAAAAAGAAAAAGAAAAGAAAAAAACTCATATTTAGATCTTAAAATTGGAAGAAGGACTTTACAGAGGAGGAAAATGTGCAATCAACACATAGAATAAAATCAAGCTTAAAGGACTTATCAGAGTTGCATTCACTGTGGCAAATTGAAGCAAGAAACCATCCCTCAAATACACAGGCAAGCCAGATAAAATACAATGAAAATTATTCACAGCCAAGTTAAAAGGCAGAAAGGTGGGGGGGTGGGGGGGACTGCAGGTGCCAGAAATGAAGAGGGAGCAAGCTGACAGAGTGGGGGGCAGAGGATGAAGCCCACCTATCTGCCTCGGCGGCTGAGGGTTTACAGCAAACCAGGAGTGGGAATAGAGGGCACAGGACGTGTGGGGCAAGGAGCTAGATCTTGAGAGCTGGGAATTGGCAACTGAGCCATGAATAGGCCTGGAAACTCTATCCGCTGACCCTAGAAAGTGGAGCGAAAGCCGGATGCCTACCCTGAGCCACGAGAGGAAAGAGAGTCACCCATGCTTCATGAGTCCAGACGGGAGGGGGAAAGAAACAAAAATAACAGCAACCATAACACACACAAATGGTCTGAAACTAGAAACCCTGGCAGAAACAAACATGAGATTCCCACTAGAGAACTAAGACCTAAGTGGTTGTAGGAGATGAGCTCTTAAAAGCTGGTTTTAGGGGGGGGAAATAAAAATAAAATAAAATAAACCTCAATCTGATCAAGCTAGGAGGAGATGATGGTACACCAATCCACAGTAAAAGGCCTCTCAGGGAACAAGAGATATCTGTAAAACAGCTAACAATGGCACCTAACACCAGGGAACAAAAGCCAAAAGCCAGCGGATAAGGAAGCGAGCAAGTGAGCCATGATGTCTCCAGGGTCTTGGGTGACATTTGCAACCGGTTAGCTCAGCTCAGCGAGGCCAGGGAGTGCCTGGTGTTACTAAAGCGAACATCATGGGGTTTAATCCCTGTTTGGACCCTGAGCTCTGCTTTCGTTCGTGGCCCCCGTCTGAACTCCTAACTTTGTCCAGCTGTTCTGCAGATGTATGTCACTGGTCACAAGAAGGATCAAGGGGCAAGGCAGTTGAAAGTGTACACAATCAACAAAGCTACTGATAATCCCGGGAAGGAAGTGCAAACAGTCAGCCTTGAAATAATCCCTCACTAGAAGAAAAACAACTCAAAAGTATACGCCTCACGACCAGCATGCCAGGAGCACCATCTTTGGACATAAAGAGCAACATGCATTGAGGTACAGGGAGGCAAAAACCAATTTAAACTCGCGTGTGACCCTCAGCTAGCCGTTTCCAGGTTCATGAAGAAAATGCCGTGGGACACAAGACAACTGTAAGGTATGTGACACCATTCCGTTCTATTAGTTCCTCTTGATTCCTCAAGTTCCAATTATCGTGTTCAATTATTCTGCTCCAAGTTCTGCATGTGAAGGGCTGGCTTACCTTGAAAGTCAGTCATCTATATAAAGTGGTTTCTAACTAAACACAAGCACCAAAATGCATTATGGAACAAATAAATATTCTAAGTAGTCATGATAAATGAGTGGAAATACTTGGTTTAACCTTGAAATAATCACTTTATCTACTTGCCTAGAATAAGTAACATTTGAACATGGGTGAATAAAATACAAGAATTACGGTGGGGTACAAGAAGGTTAATTTGCAAGCACTGGAAGTGATTGCAATTATTGCATGGCTTTCTTTAAGGGGTTGCTTAAGAAAAGAAGGATGCAGCCAAAACCGGTTTGGCTCAGTGAATAGAGCATTGTCCTGTAGACTGAAAGGTCCAGGGTTCGATTCCGGTCAAGGGCATGTACCTTGGTTGCGGGCACGTCCCCAGTAGGGGGTGTGTAGGAGGCAGCTGGTTGATGTTTCTAACTCTCTATCCCTCTCTCTTCCTCTCTGTAAAAAATCAATAAAATATATATTTTTTAAATGAACTGTAAAGCACAGGGCTCGAAAATGCATACAATATTTGATAAAAATAAAAGAAAGTGGGAGAAAATGTGGTTTGTCTTTTCACTATGCCCTTAGGTGCTGGTGAGCATTAAACAACCCAAGAATTGGAGAGAAATCCAGGTGTACACATGTTAGCCCCACGGTGAAGGGATGTCCTGCGGAGGGTGAGTACCTCCTGAAAGTGAGGAAAAGGGTTGCGACATCCAGGAGACGGATACCCTTGACCTTAACCTGCTCTGAAACACTTACAGCTTCCAGGGAGTGATAGGCCCCGTAGTTGAAGTTATTATCGCTCCGTTCTTGCTCTTGGTTGTGTTGCATTTCTTCATCTTCTTTATCTAAAAGGGCCTAAAACAGAAACGGCAACACTGTGACGTGACGTGGTCCGTTGGAGATGGAGATTCACGTTGTTTCTGCCATGCCGCGGCCCAGGAGCCAGCCCAGACGGCGGCACCTTTGGCACACAGATCAAGCACCCCAAAAGCCAAGAGGTGAAGGAGGTCAGTTATCTTCCACGTATCTATAAAATCTTACTCCGTGGGGCCCACGGTACATCACCCCATTCAAAACTCCCTCCCTCCCTGGAGGTAATAAATATGCTATTTTGTTATTCTATACTGTGAATCCTCTAGACATCAGCCCGCATCTGGTATCCAGCGCCTCTGAAATACACAGCTTAGGAAACCATTCAGAAACAAAGAAATTCTTACAACCACTCATACTTTGAAGGCTCCTGGCAGATGTCTATGACATGTGAGCATGATTAATAAGCTCACAGCTGCTCACGCCATCAGGAAACTCCCGGGCCAAATCACCAATTAGTCCATAACCCACCTCGGTGAAGGAGAAAACATGAGCCAGACACTGTCCTGCTGTTTAAATACAGGCCGTGAGGCGGGTGCCTGGCTAAGGGGGTGGTGTTCCCTCTGCTGGGGGCTGGGGGTGACATGCCCCCTTTCTCAAAGGATGCTTTTCAGGACTGGTCTCCAACACCTGCCCTACTCTGTTCTTCCCTCCTGACTTCAAATAAGAAAAGAAAGCGAGGCGTAATACTTGTGGATGTTTCTGACATACCAGGCACTGTTAGACAGTTCACATATACTTAATCACTTTTCTCAATAAATCCTATGAAGTAATCACTATTAACATTTCACCAATAAAGAAATAGGCTCAAGAGGTTAAAAGCTTGTCCAGCTAAAACCGGTTTGGCTCAGTGGATAGAGCGTCGGCCTGCGGATTGAAAGATCCCAGGTTCCAGTCAAGGTCATGTACCTTGGTTGCGGGTACATCCCCAGTAGGGGGTGTGCAAGAGGCAGCTGATCGATGATTCTCTCTCATCGATGTTTCTAACTCTCTATCCCTCTCTCTTCCTCTCTGTAAAAAAATCAATAGAATATATTTTTTTTAAAAAAAAAAAAAACCCTTGTTCAAAGTCACACAAATAGTAGTTGGCAAAATCAGGATTTGGATCCAGAACTGAGTCCCCTCCGTATCGTGCCCCTCGTACTATAGCATGCTCCTCTAACAAGCCAGTGCGCTTATTTCCCCATAAACCTCACTGTCTTCATCTGTCAAACGAGAAAAATAAGACCTTGAAAATGTCTCAGGTCCACTCTGGCTGCTTTGCCCTACGCAAGACAAGTCAGGAGCCTTGGTTTACCCACCTGCAGGTCTTCAATTGTCACTGAGTAATCTAAGCCTTGAGAATTGAGGAAGAACTTGACTGGTTGCAGACTGACAGCCGGGACCAGGACATCCACAGGATGACCCAAGGAAGAGAAAGATTTCCAGAGGTTGAGCTGAAGATAACGAGAGAGAAACCAGGTTAAAGGACAGTTCAGGTAAAAGGCATAATTAGTTAGCTCATTCTTCTAGAACAACTGCCAGAAGGCAGGGTGATCCCTGAGGAGCTGGGTTCTGCCCAAGAAGGCAAACTTTGTCTGTATCTGGTCAGACCTGTCCAGCAGGCAACACCTGGCAAAGGCCAAGAAGTAATAATAATAAGTCAATGGCAGATGGAAGGATGGAGCCCACGGCTGAGCCTTCCCACGTCCCAGCACTGTTATGATGTACAGCACGTCTCCCCACTTCAGCCCTCTCAATCTTGGAAATGCACATTGACCAGGACGGAAATCCAGAAACGATGCCAGTGGTTCAAGTCTTCTCCCGCCAAAATACGATGCCCAAGAGCAAGAGGAAGAACCAAGTACCTTCAAGTTGTCTGATTTCACTAGCTCTTGGAGTTTGTTGACCTCGTCTCCATTTCTGACGTTAATCCTAAAAACTTGATCCCTGGAGAGGAGAGAGAGAGAGAGAGAGAGAGAGAGAGAGAGAGAAGCAAAAGATAATGGTGAGCTTTCAGCTGGCAAACAAGCCCCAGCCTACTATCCCAGACATAATTGCGCCGAGCGAGAGGAAATGGTCTAGCCTTTGGTTATAATGTATAGCCATTAAAAACAAGACTACGTGGCTAAATATGAAAAAGTGCTTATGGTATAACTTTAAGGGAAATATTAAGTGAAAGAGCAGGACCCAGAGTTGTATGTATGCCACGATCGCAAGTATGGAAAAAGCAGATGCATTGGAAGAAAAACAGACAGCGGAAATCTAGCAAATGCTGACAGTGCTTATGCACGGGTCGTGGAATTATGGATGACTGACTTTTTCCCCCTTCGTATCTGTTTTCTGTAACGTGGTCGTATTACTTTATAATGAAAAACATATATACTTTGCAGAAAGGAATGTTCCTGGGTTACACGCAAAGCTAACTCAAGACATAAAGAGGCCGTTCTTCACTGTCAGGGGCTCAGGCTGAAGCTGGCCCAGCACATGAGGCATAGAGCAGGGGAAGTTTTGTTAAGTACGGTTTTGTGAACCAATGTCCCCCTGATAAATTCAATTTAAAAAGTAAAACTTAATTCAATTCCTTTTTTTTTTTTTTTTTTTTTTTTTAAGAAAGAAACTCTGGCCCAGGCCAAGGTCCATGCTGGAAAGAGCCGGAAAAGAGAACAGACCTTCCGTCCCTGAAGGGTTAGCTATTTTCCTCTTAGCAAAAGGGGGGGGAGACTGGGTGCTCTTTTGATCTTGTCCAGCTCCGGAATCCTACAAAAACTGGAATTAGATAAAGGCCAAGGAGCTGGGGCTGACCTTGGGGTTCAATCCTCGTAAGGGGGTCCAGAGAAGGCCCGGAGGGAGCCCCCCCCCTGGCCATTTGCCCTAAGCTTGTTGCATATACACTATTTAGCATCCACGACAGCGGCAGGGGTAGAGGCCCCCAAAGTCCTGTGTGTGTGTGTGTGTGTGTGTGTGTGTGTGTGTGTGTGTGTGTGAGAGAGAGAGAGAAGGGCGGGCCTGAAAAGCTGCCTTTGTGCTCTCAGCCGGCTCAAGTAGCCAGGGGAGCCATTAGGCCGTTGCTAGGTGACGGACCGAATGAATCTGCACTCAACGCTGCCACATGCGTCATCCCTTTGACACGACTGAATGCAGGAAGCGCCGGTGGAGAGAGCTGTGGGCTGAAGGACCTGTTGACAGAGAAAATGGTTCTGTCACAGGGAGCTAAACGTGCAGCCTCACGTGGCAGCTCTGCATCTCCTCCTCGGAGAGCCAGCTCAATCCAGATGGACTCTCGGGGTGTAACTTTGTTCTGTGGGGTTCTGCGGGATCGGTGGGCGGTCCTGCCCGGCCCAAAGAAACATGGTCCATTGCAGGTGGCGGGCCTGGAGGAGATGCCGGTGCCAAAGGCTCGCTTTCTCCCAACGCAACCTGTCTCCTCAGGGTCCTGGGAGGTGGGCAGCTCACAGGGTCCCTGGGTGCTGCTGGGACCAGAGTGGAGAAGCCATCGGCCTGGCGGCTCTCCGTCGGAACCCGACGGGCTTGCTCGGCGAGGACCTGCGGCCCCCGGGGGGATGAGGAGTCAAACCACCACGTCCCTGACACGGGCAGGCAGCCTCACAAAAAGGGAAGAGTTTACAACAGAAGGGAAATCCTTCCTCCTGGCTGAATCCCAGGGGCCATCTGCCAAACCCAGGCTCTGTCACCACCACCCCCGACTCTCCAGGAAAAGCCCGTCTCAGAAGTGGTGTTCTAGAAAGCGCCTGTGCACGGATGTCGGCGAAGGAGGCATCTGTAAAATGCAGCACTGACAAGAGCAATCACAAAGCAGGGGAGGGAAAAAGAACAGGAAGAGAGGAAAAGAGAGGAGCATAAAAGTAAGGAGCTCTCAGAACTATCGAAATCACGTCACCCATTCACCCAGAGCCTTTGTTTTACTTTTCCTAAAAGCGGTTACTTCACCACAGAACTTCCGTACCCCGGGAAGTCCGAGACAACGGATCACCGCAAATCGCGCGGCGCTGATGATTAAGTTCGCAGCCCGTTTCATCACGCCCTCGGCACCCGGCTATGGAGGTTAAAGACGCCGCTGCTGTATTCAGAGAGGCAGCAGGGAAGATGCAGACAAAAAAAGCTCTGCAATCTAACTAAACGTCACCTCAGAGAGTAATCTGATCATCAATTCCTAACTGGGCCAGTCCCGGTGGGTAGTCACGTCCAGATCTCTAAGAGGTTTATCTTCACCGTAAGCAAACCTGGTCCCATTGTTCCCACGCATCCAGGCTCACGCACCTTTGAATGCCTCTCCTTCCGACCCCTCCAGGGAGCACAAAATCTTGTTAGCTTTCCTATAATCCCCGCCTTCTTGTAATCTTCCTTACCGTTTCTCCTTCATTCCAAGTATATAAAAGATCCTGCAAAAACCTGTCATTTTCTGGAGCATTTGAGAGCTCGCTTCCCGGCATGTCATCCGTTTGGTTCAAATAAACTCGGAACAACTCACGTGGAAATTCTCTACGGGTTTGGACATTTTTTTACATTGACAGAGGGCTGGTCGGGTCCTTCCCCATCAATCTCTTCTCCACTTCTCCCTCCTCCTATACCTTCTTGGCTCCAGCCGCAACTAAATCCTAAATTCACCACGCACTCTGCCCTCCGATGCCTTTGCACGTGCTGTTCCCTCTGCCTAGACACCCAGCCCACTGCTTTAGTCACCCAGCCAGCTCCCACCCAGGCTTTAGGACGACTGCCATCACCCATGAGGCTTCCCTGCCTAGAGTGATTGGAGAGAAGAGCTGGTTTAACATTATTTACATAAACATCGGTCCATCAAAACCTGGAACCTAAGGTGAAGGGCAGCCTTTTTGTTGTCCTCATTGTCCTCGTCTCTGTTTGGAAAATGCCCTTCCCAGTGTGGGTAGCTGAACACAGCCTATGTCCACCACCTGGAACTCCATTCAAAGACCTTAAGCTCTTCTGACTGTGGAAGATTGGCCTGGGAGGGGAGATCTGATGGGATTTGCAGGTTTCCATGTTCACCGCTCTACTTCACACAGGTATTTTTGCAGCTCTTGGTAACTCTGGTCCATTCCGATACCACTGTCGTGTACACAATGGCTGGTGATCCCTTCTCACTCATTCACACTTGTCCCATGTTCTGGACAGTCAATCGTCCCCTTGGTGCTGAGCTTCTGTCCCTCCCCAAGTGGCCTGGTCTTTGTACCTTTCTTAGCTGCATCCCCAGCCAGGTCTAGCATCTACCACGAATACTGAGAGACAGCCGCCCAAAACTCTTCAATGCCTGCCAGCTACAGTTGATGCTGCAACTAGTTCTGCAACTACTTCCTGTTCTCTGCCTGCCCCACGTCTCTAGGCATCTTGGCCACCTTCCCATCCTTAAAATGCCCGAAGACCAAGGCAGAAGACACCAGCAGAGACAGACTAGGGAAGTCAGTGAGTTGAGTAGAGAGAACAGAGCCTAGGGTGGAGGCTTTAAGTGGCTGGGGGAGGGGGGAGGTTGGCGTGGGGGGGGGCGGATAAGAACCATCATCTTCATCTCCTCAGCACTGTACCCCCTCCAAGCCAACCTATGCCCTGGCTTCCCAACTTCTTGAATGCGCAGAAACCAGCTTATCCTTGATCTAAATGTTCCCCTTCTGGGACATGTCTATGGACCCCAGGAGGGATTCCACTATCTTTGCTGGGTTCTGTACTTTGGGGTGAGACCAAGTTTGGGGGTGAGCTCGGCACTGATGATTAAAACCATATGCAATTAGCCCTGATGCACTTCCTGTGCCCCCTCCTGTGGTGAGGACTCCAGGGCTCAGCCCAGTTGTCTCAACCCAGATGCCCCCTGCATTGTAAGAGAAGTCTATATCCGGAGAAATAAAGATTTCTCCGCCACCTGAATGGCTGCAGCAGGAGCCTAACAGCTCCAGGGGTCAGCCCGCTTGACAGCAAGTTAGTTATTACACTGAACTGCCTGAGGAAAATCTCCTTACCTGGCCACCTGCCGGGCCTAGGGCCTCTAAGCTATTTGGTCATAGAGACCAGGTGTGAGCAGAAGTCTTCACCATAAAAACTACTCAGTTCCATATAAGTACAGTGGTTCCCCCTTATCCACGGTTTTTGCTTTTCCAGGTTTCAGTTACCCAAGAACACAGTCTGAAGTTACTAAATGAAAATTTGGAGAAATAAGCAACTCATACATTTTCAATTACACGCCGTCCTGAGTACCTCACTTCACCTCATCACATCACCTCACATCATCTCAAGATGGGTGAGTACATAACCATCAAACATTTTGAGAGAGAGAGACCACATGCACGTAACTTTCATTACAGCATGTTGTTATAATTGTTCCATTTTATTGTGAGTTATAATTAATCTCTTACTGTGCCTAATTTATAAATTAACTTTGTCATAAATATGTATGTATGAGAAAAAACACAGTATCAAGAGGGTTTGGTACTACCCGTGGTTTCAGGCACCCACTGGGGGTCTTGGAATGCATCCCTCACAGATAAGGGGGGGCTAATGTAATTACCACAGCAAACAACCCCAAAACCCCTTTGGCCTGATAGTATAATAGAGTGAGCAGGTAGATATAGATCAATCAGCGAGATAAAGGATTCTATCTGATTACTTTGTGTTACCGCAAAGGATGTGGTTTTTGCAGTCGTTCCAGCTCCCCTGCTTACCAGCTAAGTGGCCTTGGGCGGGTTTCTTAATCTTCCCAAAGCTGAGTTTTTTTTCATGTTTAAATTAAGGAAAATAACACCCTTGCCTGTCAGAGTTGTTGTGTAATCCAGAAGATAAGGCGCGCGAAAGCTTTTTGCAAATGGCAAAGCATTTACGCAGTAATGAGTTATTAGAATCCAATCTTCCAGCGGGGTACCGTGGCGTCCTTTCCTCTCTCCCACCTCCCAGATGTCCTCTCCTCTGCAAACCGCAGAGCATTATGTGTGGAGCATGTGTGTACACAGTGTACAGGTGTATCCTGGCATGTCAATCTTCAGGGCTGTGGCTCGGCAAGGCCTGTCGTATCTCCATGTCCCAGGTACTAATGAAAAAGCGCCAGTTCTATGAAGCCTTCATTGTTACCAAAGAGGTAAAACCAAGACACCGAAGACCTAGGTTTTCCCTTCAGCAGGAGGAGAGAAATCAGAAACAATTTCTGGTAACTCTTGTTAATTCATAATACTCTACAGCAGTAAGAAAGTAGAAGATGCTTGGGACTGACAGGACAAATAAGAAGTAGGAAGGAAAAATAATTGGCAGGAGACTAGGGAGCTAGGGAGGACTGCAGAGGCTACCTAGTCCTGATTTCACAGGTAAAATGGAGCCTGAGAGACAAGTAACTTGTCCAGGATGACACAGAGCATAGCTGGGACTGGAGCCCAGGGCTTTATTCTCCATGCCAAACCGCTTGAAGTAGCATCAGCCATTCATTTCCAAATTCATCTGCCTTCCGTATCACTCACCTGACTAAGCAGTAATAATAAGTCCAAAGAGAACTTACCCAAAAAACTTGTCTCGGCCACAGAGGCCGAGCCCAATGAGGGCCGCAGAGAACAGTATCCACTTCATGTCCCAAAGGTGTCTGTCACACCTTGGTTGAGTCAAGCCGTATTTATAAGGAGTCTAAGGCAGACTCAGTTCTCAAAAATGTCAGTGTGATTCCCAAGTAGCCTTTCAACTCTGATGACCGACAGGTGGGCCCCTACCCATGACTCTTTCATTCCTTTTGAGTGATAAAGGCGAGCCTCCTGATTCATAGAATCAGGAACCTGCTCCTCGGGCTGGAAAACTCTATGCCAAAGGTACCAGATTGCTCAACCCTGTATTTAAATAGTGAGGGTTTTTGTTTTTGTTTTTGTTTTTTTTAAATAAATAGGATTTATGGTCATAGGAGAGGCCAGGTTGTAAATATAAGACAGGGTTACCTCTAGAGTACTTTTAAAAAGTGAAGAGTATCAAAGAAATCACAAGCCAGCTCCAAGACCACATATTTGACAACCTGTCAGAGAACTCTCCAGAGCAGGTCATAACCATGACAGTTGGTGGCCTCTGCTAGGAATCTGAAACATAATTCTTAGGACTCCAGGAAGAAAGTAGAATTCTATGAGGTAGAGGGTCTAGGAAGAATGTGTTATGTCTGAACAAATTATCTCTTTTCTTTAGGGTCTGAGCTGAAGTGAAATCTTAATAGTATTATTAAAAATAAAACCTTCTTACATTTGCTAGACTCTGAGTCTAGTGTCCTTTCCGCCACGTCCCAGAAGAATAAATGGAAAACACTTGTGATCTCCACAACCTCTTCCCGGGCTCTGTGGCCTTCAAGTCTGTTCTAGGAGCCCCAAACCCACAAGCCTTCCCCATCCCGTGATCTACACGCCTCCTGCACTTGCTAAAGAGAGTGGACACAACAAAGGGTTCTGATTGGGACTGTTAAAAAAAACAAAAACACTCATTATTCTGACATTTTTTAAAAAGAGTAATTCAAAATTTTGGGGGGTCATGAGCTAGGAGAGTGTAATTGTGTTCAACTCTGAATACAGTAAAGGCAACAGAGTGAGGAGTCAGTGGACGGACGACAGATAAGAGACATCACGGGTTGGGGGGATACTTGCTTAACTGACCTAACAGGATTCTTGCTACAGGCAGGCCAAGGATTGAGACATCACAAGGGGATGATAAGGAACTTGATCAGATATCAGACTGTGGAATGATTTCCTTAACAGGAGTCTTTGCTAAAACTGACTTAGGGCCTAGTCAAAAAGAGGACTCAGAGCCCTAGCCAGGCTCAGTGGAGAGAGTATCAGCCTGCATACTGAAGGTCCTTGGTTCGATTCTGGTCAACCCTTCCCACACTGAAAGGGAAGTCCTATTCCCTCCCTGGCCCATCACAAAGACTGAGACTCTCCTTCACCAAGATAAATTTCAGCTTCGAAATTACCAAAAAGAGAACCTGAGACCTGAATCTGTGAGATGTGAGCTAAAGAATCAAGTATCCAGAATTCCAGGAATGCTGGAATTCACTTCCCATCCCATTCTTCCAGAGAAAACCATTCACATGAAGAAAATGTAAACCCCTAATGGAAGTAAATGCCTGAAGGGAAATTACAGGGCAACCAGAAAGCAGTGGTTGGGTCCCCACCAGTTTCTATAGTGCAGCACACCAGGAGTGGAAAAGCAAAGTAAATAATGGAACCAGATGACACAGCACCTACCATAGTGCTTGGAACAATGTAGTTGCTTAATCAGTACTTATTGAATACGTGAACTCAAAAATCCCTTTCTAGCTCTAAAATGCTACTCTGTTAAGATGAAGGAGCTGGCACATACCACAATACGCAGGAACCTTGAAAGCATTCTGCTAAGTGGACTAAGCCAGTCACAAAAGGACAAATACTATGTCATTTCATTTAAACGTGGTACCTAGAATAGGCAAATTCAGAGACAGAAGTAGACTAAAGGTTATCAGAGGCTGGAGGAAGAACGGGGAGTTATTGCTCAACCGGTGCAGAGTTTCTGTTTGGGATGATGAAAAAGTTCTGGAGATGGACAGTGGTGATAATTGCACAACACTATACATTCACAGTGCCGCTGAATTGTACACTTAAAAATGGTTAAAATGGTAAATTTTATGATTTGTATATTTTACCACATTTTTTAATGTTGAAAGGATATTGGGAGCATTTTGCTAAGAAGGGATTTTTTTAAAGATGTAGGAGTATGGCTCAGTGGTTTTCTATATTTTAGGACAGCATAAATTAAAGAACGGATTCTGCTAAATCAGGATTCGACAAAGGAATAATCACTCGCCGACTTTGTTTCAAACTAGAGAGCTTTTAATGGCATGTATTCCCGCAGAGCCCTAATAGGGATGGTCCCGCACATGCTCCATGATGGTCTTCAAGCCAAGCCAGGTCTCTTCGGCTGTGGGTAAGATCTGCTTGGCAGGCAGGAGGAAGCCGTAGCGGCCAGTGTCTCTCAGTTCAAAGGCAAATGAGTATTTGATGCCAGAGTCATAGGCCCAGTCAATGCTTCCTCCACTGGCTTGGTCTGAAGGGCAAATGAGAATAAATCTGGTTATGCTATTCCCAACTGGCCTCTCACAGCTATGTAACGGCTAAGTTAAGTTCCACGATTATTAAAAAGATACGTTAGGCCCCTATCTGCAAGGACCTTCAGAGCAGGGATAGCTTATGAAAAATTACAAGATTAACTTGAAAAGCAAAGGGTGTTACGTCAATGGACACTATACTTGGCCTTCCTCTGAAGTTCTGAGGCGCCTCTGGCTTCACCCACCCATTTGGAACCCTGCCTGCTCTCCTAATTCGCCTCTGGGGAGGCAGCCCCCACTTCCTTCTTTAGAAAAGTGCTAGGTGTAGACATTTTTTTTCTCTAGAGAGGGAGGAGGGATTACAAATACAAGAAACAATTTGGTCCCTTCCCTCAGGGGATTTTCAGCGAAGGGTGGAACAGGCCTTGTTCTGATATAAAATAACATGCCCACTGCCTGTGTGTGATGGTTCACCCAGCGGAGTCAAGTGCACCTGTGTGTGTGGCCACAGACGAGACCGATGATGAAGGAAGGTGGCATTAGCCAACAAAGACTTGGGCAATCATGACTCAGAAGAGCTGAGTCATGATGGGCTCTGAGGCCTGGCCCAGGGAGGGCAAGAAGAGGTCATATGAAAGAGATGGCTGAGGCAGAGGTGGAAAAAGGCAGCTGGTCCCTAAGAACAGGGCTGGGCAAAGGGGAAGACCAGGGAAGCTGTACAAAGAACAGGACTCATGGTTAAGATTGTGAATGAACACTGATCTCCTGTGACGAATGATTTGTCTTCATCATAGCAGCTATGAGACCTGGTAAATAACAAATACCAAATGATTTCGGACTTGAACTGAACCTTCCTGGGTACCAGAATTTCTAACTTATGCCTTCGGTGCAGCTACATGATACAATCCCACTAAGAAGCCTGTAGTAAATGCCATGCTTGCTTCAGATTGAACCCTAATTCTGCAAAACTTAAGTACATAAAGCATGTACTTAACTCACTGCATCCAAATGCTTCATCCATCATATGGGGATAAAAATATTACTTATTTCCCAGAGCAATGACAATTAAATGGAATAATATAATGTTTATAATTCCAACACTTTTTGAGTGCTTCCTAAATGTGATAGGCACTATGCTAAATTGGTTCATTTAATTACCACTTGAGTCACAAAGTAGATTTTACAGATGAGAAAACTGAGGTTCAGAGAGATTAAGTGAAGGAGCTGGGATAATGTATACAGAGTAGACATTCCATAAATGTTAGTTATTGTTATAACTATGATTACAAATAAATTATTAGGATCGTATTTTAAAAATTGGGCCACATTAAGGGTAAGAGGTATCCAGAAGACAGTAGTTCACCAGGAAACTAAGAACATTTATATAGTGCCTTAGAATTAGTGAACACTTTTCATCTATATTCTATCTTTTGAGCCTCTCAACAATCCATTTTACAGATGAAGAAACCAAGGGAGGTCCTGGCCGGTATGTCACAGTGGTTAGAGTTGTTGGCCCACGAACCCAGGGGTCTCGGGTTCGATTCCCAGGCAAGGGAGTGCACCTGGGTTGCAGGTTCTATCCCCAACCCCAGTCAGAGCTGGAGTGGGAGTCAGCCAATGGATGTGTCTCTCTCACATTGATTTTCTCTTTCTTTCTCTCCCCACTCCCCACTCTCCACCCTTCCTTTCTCTAAAATTCAATGGAGCCCTAGCCGGGTTTAGCTCAGTGGTTAGAACATCAGCCTGTGGACTGAAGGGTCCTGGGTTCCATTCTGGTGAAGGGTACATGTCCAAGTTGTGGGCTCGATCCCCAGAGGCGGCTGTGCAGGAGGCAGCCAATCAATGATTCTCTCTCATCATTGATGTTCCTATCTCTCTCTCCCTTTCTTTCTGAAATCAATCAATAAATAAAAAAAATCAATGATACAAAATATCCTCAGGTGAGGATTAACACAAAAAAATAAACAAACAAATAAATATGAAAACAAAACAAAACAAGGTAAGATGAGTGACCTTCCCAAGGTTACTTGAAGCTATAACTCAAACCCAGTCTGTGCTTTTCCCCGCCACTCCTTTCTGAGGAACAGCCCCTCCCGGACCAAACACGGGTGGCAGAGCAGCTCCTCAGAGCGCTCTCCAAATGAGGAGCTGCCTCACCCCCCACAGAAGCCCGCCGCCTCCGGGCGGAGGGAAGCAGGTGCTCTCAAGCTGCATACCAGCCTGGAGCAGGGAGCAACAAGGAGTTAATTGGGACTTAGAGGCAATGCTTGTCCAAACTGGAACGAAGCCAGGATCAAAGATAACAGAGGCAGCTCTGGGCACATGATGCAGCCAGAACTTGCCTGACCATTAATGGCCAGGTTCCAAAAAAAGAATTCAGACAGCCAACCCTCTGCTTGTCTGATATTTGCTTATTAAAAATGTCTTCAATATCTGTGATCGTACTGAGAAAAGCATACTAAATCTCGGTCTCCCAATGTCTACCTGACTTGTAAACACCTCACCGTCGGAGAAGGGAAGC